AGGTTTACAATTTATGATTAAAACTCTACTATCTACACAATATATATAGGCATAAAATGTAAAAACTTAAATATCTTAGAAACAGTAGCCAATCAGTTGTTTTAATTGTCATATTTGAATTCAGCACATCAAAATACATAATAAATAGCACATTTTATCTCTGAAGCAGACGACTTCTCAAAAATTGTAGACCAGTGTTACAGCTCAGTTTTCTGTTGTGTCTTGTCCCTTCTATCTCTATGCTGACATAACATCTATCTTCCTATCAGAGTTGTGAACATTATCTACATTTTTTGTTGTTCGCTTTTTGAATGCTATCCAAACATTTTGAGGCTCTTTAATTTCAAAAGAAGTCATTTTCTTTCCTATGACTCTTATTTCTATAGATTTATTTCAGAATATGTCTTTTAAAAAAACTATTTACCATTTTGAGGCTATGCTCTTGTGGTTTATTAACACCAGAATTGTTTCATAGAAATGTGGCATTATACTGGTATGGTGCAGCTACTTTGCTTTATACTGCCAATATATATACACTGTACACTATTCATATATATAGTGGCTTAACTTCAAATATGTTCTATTTTAAAATATTTTGGCAAAATGCTAATAATAAAATTAAGTTCAGAATAATCTTACAGAGGCCAGCCATGGGCCAGTCCAAAGAAGTAAAGTGTGTGCGGGTGGTTGGTTAGCCAAGAGGTTGATTGGTATCAGGGGCAGTCCGGGGCACTGGCTGGAGTTCTCACAGGGGTCAGTAACTGGAAGATCCAATCCAAGGGACTGGGTTAGCAGGTTAGGGAGGCGAGGTAGGGCAAGGCAGCATGGCAACAAATTGGCATCAGACAAGGTAGGGTGAGGCAGCAAGGCAGGATCAGGTGAGGCAACCTAGGCAGCAGTGAGCAGGCAATGGTTTGTTGCTTAGACAGCTTCCTCTTGGGGCCTTTGTATAATCCAGGCTCCCAATGAGAGTGCTGCTTGTCCATCCAATCAGAGACCTGGGGTTTGGTTGCTGTGGCTCTGTAGGCCTTTAGCACTAAGGCTGTTGGTCCAGGGCAGTGGTTAAGTGCTCTGTCATGGTTCAGCAGCTAAGTATGCTGCCTAAGGACCTCGAGAGTCTAGGTTCAGTATTGATATCCTGACAGTATTCCAAGACAAAAATAACTACATTAAAATAGTGTTAAGTCTGAAAGAACTTATAACTTAAGGATGAAAAAATGTAGAGATGTTGTCTTCATCTCTAAACCAAGTACTGGAAATTCAGCATTAAGATTTCACTTAAAAGAATTCCAAACATGTTAACGTACGGATATGCACAGTTAATGCAGCCAAACAACCTTAATTCCTGCCTAGTAGCAAAGCTGTGCAGTAACCATCTGATTATGCTTAAGACATTTGGTGTATGTGGTCCTAGATTAGATTTTGTTTTTTGAAGACAAGAGGTTTTTCTCATATTTTTTCCCTTTATGGTGTCCTTAGCTCTTTAACTATTGTTCAGGGCTCCACAATAAATACTACTCTCGTCAGCTGCCTGCGTTGGAATCAAACTCTCTGCCCCCTCCATCATTTTTAGTTATTATCCTGAGTGGAGTGATCTTTGGTGGTTTAAAGTGATACATTCTACTCTATTGTCCAATACATGAATATATTTATAATAATCAAACTTTTATTCCTTAAGCGAAAAAGTGATGAAAAATTAGATAATTTGGAAAAATTTAATATAAAGATGGATAATATAAAAACAGGTGAAAAGTTCTCTATACCTGCTGTCCAAAGACAATTATTAAGATGATAGATCTAAAATTCTTGAATCCAGCCCTCCAGCAGATGAATAGTAAGAATTCTCTGACCATAGAATTCTGCAACCATTAAACTGCCTCACCAGCATGCAATCCTCTTCATGCTTCTAAGGGTATCATGGCTCTCTTGCATTGGTTCCAAAAGCAATTTAGTCTTTAAATGAAGACCGGATATCTTTTTAAAGAGATGTGATATAGCTTAAATTGAAGTTATGGGCTTGATATAGGAATTACTGGCTGAGGTTCTATGGCCTATGTTGTGCAAGAGGTCAGACTAAATGATCATATCGGTCCCTTCTGGCCTTAAAAATCTATGAATCTATGCAAATCAAATCTGGGCAAGAGCTGAGTTCAATTTTATTTTGAGTCTTCCAGTCACATTGTGTTTAGTGTTGGCCTGACTAGAAGCAGAATAATAAATTTCCATGGTGAAGATGTTTTCACCTTTTGACCTTTGTACGCTGTGTGATGGGCGTAATAGCAGTTGATAAGTTTGATAAATTGTTATCTATCTGAGAAGAATCAGTGAAAGATGTCATTTTTTTTCTGTTTCAGGTATTGGTGGTAATTTAGTGGCAATTCAAGCTAGCAGAATTTCTACCTACCTCCATTTACATAGCATTCCTGGAGAGTTGCCAGAAGAAGCAAAGGGTTGCTATTACCCATGCCGAACCTATTATGGTACAGGTATGTGTTGGTGGTTGTTAATTGTTGCAACTAGATTGTTGCACTCTTTTTTGCTTCTGTAGACCGACCTGTACACCCAGTGAATGTGGGCACCATATTCAGCTGTTGCTGTGATAGGTAGACAGTAATGAAAGATTCCTCTACCTGCAACAATTGAGCGGTAGGGAGGTCATGTATAGGGCTTGAGTGGGAGAAGTGTAACAGGGACCGAGAGACAGAGATGGAAGTCAGGAGTGGTTAAAGACACTCCCCAAATGGCTGCACTCAGAGCTGCTTTGTCCTTTTATCCTCCAGTAACTCATTAACTTCTGCAGAAGTTAATCTGCAGAAAAGGACCTAGGGGTTACAGTGGACGAGAAGCTGGATATGATAACAGTGTGCCCTTGTTGCCAAGAAGGTTAACGGCATTTTGGGCTGTATAAGTAGGGGCATTGCCAGCAGATTGAGGGACATGATCATTCCCCTCTATTCGACATTGGTGAGGCCTCATCTGGAGTACTGTGTCCAGTTTTGGGCCCCACACTACAAGAAGGATGTGGAAAAATTGGAAAGAGTCCAGGGGAGAGCAACAAAAATGATTAGGGGTCTGGAGCACATGACTTATGAGGAGAGGCTGAGAGAACTGGGATTGTTTAGTCTGCAGAAGAAACGAATGAGGGGGGATTTGATAGCTGCTTTCAACTACCTGAAGGGGGGTTCCAAAGAGGATGGATCTAGACTGTTCTCAGTGGTACCAGATGACAGGACAAGGAGTAATGGTCTCAAGTCACAGTGTGGGAGGTTTAGTTTGGATATTAGGAAAAACTTTTTCACTAGGAGTGTGGTGAAGCACTGGAATGGGTTACCGAGGGAGGTGGTGGAATCTCCTTCCTTAGAGATTTTTAAGGTCAGGCTTGACAAAGCCCTGGCTGGGATGATTTAGTTGGGGATTGGTCTTGCTGTGAGCAGGGGGATGGACTAAATGACCTCCTGAGGTCCCTTCCAACCCTGATATTCTATGATTCTATTAACTTATCTCTCCCATCCAACCTCAGAAGTTCACTCACGTTCTCCACCAACACCCTGTTTACCCTCGCTGTCAAGTCCTGGCTAGGAGTCAACCAGGGCTGGCTCTAGGATTTTTGCCGCCCCAAGCAAAAAAATTTTGGCCGCCCCCCCCTTTTTTCATGCCCCCCTGCCCCCGGCCCCGCCCCAACTCCACCCTTTTCGAACCCCTTCCCCAAATCCCCAGCCCCGCCTCCTCCCCCAGCGTGCTGCATTCCCCCCCCATTGCTTCCTGCGGGCCCCCCGCAACCTCCCACCCTAGCTCAACTCCGCTCCGCCTGCTCCCCCCGGGCATGCCACCGCTCCGCTTCTCCCACCTCCCTCTCAGGCGAGGGAGGGCGGAGAAGCGGAGCAGCAGCGCATTCAGGGGAGCAGGCGGAGCGGAGGTGAGCTAGAGTGGGGGGGGGCGCAGGAAGTAATGGGGGGGTAGAGGAACCACTCCCCGCTCCAGCTCACCCCCGCCGCTTCCCCCTAGCGCCCCACCACTCGGCTTCTCCTCCCTCCCAGCGGTGCTGCGCGAAACAGCTGTTTCACGCACGGCGAGCCTGGAAGGGAGGGGGGAGAAGCAAAGCGGCAGTGGCATGTTCAGGGGAGCAGGCGGAGGTGGAGAGAAGGCGAGCTGGGGTGGCAAGCTGGGGCGGCGGGGGCCCTTTTTCCCCATGCTCCGGAGTCGGCGCCTATGATGGCCGGCGCCAGAATGCCGCCCCTAGAAATGTGCCGCCCCAAGCACCTGCTTGTTTTGCTGGTGCCTGGAGCCGGCCCTGGAGTCAACACACATGCACACATTGTCCTTCTCTTTCCAGTATTTGTGGAGTGTGTGCTGATTAAATACTGGGTTCATTATAAATAGTCTCTGCTTTCCCCTTGCAAACCAACCCTCTGACTCTCTTGGACCTCACCCCCTTCTCTGGGTCCTTGCTTCTTCATCACCACCACCACTCCCACCTCTCAATCCCTGCTTCCTCATCACGACCACTGCTCCCCTCCAACACACCCCTCCAGAATGCCTGCTTCCCTCCCATTCCCAACTCCACTTTATCACCTTGCCTTCAGGTGTCTGCTTCCCCTTCCATGCCCTAGTCCCCACCAAAACCCTATCTTCCAGGCTTTCATGTCTGTTAGCCTCTTAGCTACTCAGTCTCCCCATACAGCAAGTTATGCTGCTGCCTCTGATCTGTGTAGGCAGCAGCAGAGATTCCATTGCCTGCAGCACCAGGTAGTCTGACTTTCCTCTAAGCTGAGATATTCTGGTTTTCTAGTTTCCCCCAAAATCAATACAGTTCTCTCCACTCCCTGAAATTTTGGAAATGATCAGATGCGGTGTTCCAACATTAGCACCTTACGTACAGAGAAGCAAAGAAATGCCATCAAGTTGAGTGTAGAGTCTCGCTTTGCTTGGCTAATAAGGAATTTCATTCATTCAAGTGTAAATTTTGTAATATGTCAGCCTATCCTGTAGGAGTTGAATCGTATTAAGGCAAAGACTTGATTCTCCCAGAACTTGTTTTGTTTCCCGACTTTCTTCACCCTCTTTACTAATTGGGAAAAGTATCCTTCAGCTATCTAGTGCTGTTCTATAAACCAGCAGATAGTGTTGTGGCTGAAACTTTACCCAGATGCCAAGAACTTTTTATTTCCTGCTTCACCTTGTTAGCCTAAGTCATAATGGTTTTATTCCATCCATGTGATAATACTTGAATGAGAAGTTTCCAGTCAAGTTGATATCATCATGCCACACAATGGTTGCTCTGACTTCCACAGTTTTTCCTTAAATTTAGAACAGAAGGTACCATTTGTAAATGTGTGATAGCTTTTGGCAAGAGTTGATTTTTGAGAAGCTTCAGTTGCTCTTTGATATTTATTAAATGTACTTCTAACTAATAAATAAAAAATAGGTGAATGTGAAGTTACTACTTAGCAATATAAAAAGCCCTCTGAGGGACTTATGTAGAAGGTAAGGGTGGCCAAAACTTCCCTCTCCTGAGGGAACATATAGGGGCCTACTGCAATTTAAAGTGGGTGATAATGTTTAGGTAAGGAACCCAATCAAGGTGGCCAGGGGATGGTCTGATTCAGAGTAGACTGTCAGCAGTCCTGTTGATCCCCTGGCAGACACTAAACATAGAAGAAACTCTGAGGGAATTTGATGGTGAAAGTCATGCATTCCTTCCCAGAAGGGTACAATTTGCACCCCTTCTATTATTGATAAAAATATTTTCCAGCTTTCAAAGGGATAAACGGCATTTTTATTTTTATTTTTGTATTACAGGAGTAAATAACAAATCAGCCCAAGTTCTTCTCCTTTTGGTGATTCCTGGGCATTTAATTTTCTTGTATACCATCCATTTAATGAAAAGTGGTCATACCTCTTTGACTCCAGTTTTTATAGCAGTATATTTGTTTGCCGCCCTGCTACAGGTAAGAATAAAAAATGTTTATAATATGTTTTAGCTCTCAAAGAATACCATGTTTGATACTTGCTTTTAGATATGTAAAGAGTAGAAGCAATAGGGTGTGTGTGTCCGTGTTATGGGTTATCTTTGTAATAAATTATTATCACACATACCCAACAGCTTCTACAACTGCATTTTGGGGTTTCTCATCAGATATCTCACCGTGTCATTTTCCCAAGTGTATGTTGTGCTTTTTCTCTGTTCCTCATGTGTCAGCACCATTAAAGCCAGTAAGCATTATGATAAACAATGGGAAAGGAATATGGCCTTTATTAATAGAAAGCAGGCCAAGAAAAATTCCTAAAAAAGTCTCAACTTGGTTTCATTCAAATAAAATGGATCACAATCTTGTTGGTTAACATAACCCACAAATGTAACAGTCTTACCTATATGCTTGTGTGCATCTCTTAAACACTCATTAAAGGTGAAGTCAGTTTAGCAGTAACCAGAATAATAATTGTTAATTGCATCCGTTATTTTTATTTATGTATTTATTTTTGCATCACTTTTGCTGGCTTTATTTAAGTCTCTAGCCCAAGCAATAGCAGCAGTTGAAAGGAGCCTTTGAAATAGTCATAGCGTAAGCTGAAGTCACTCCAAATAAAGAAATCAGCTTATACATTGAATTGTTTTATGTACAGTCAAGTTTTAGTTAAAACTTTGCTGAGTTGAATAAAACATTTAGTTATATTTTTTTTTAAATGAAGGACATACTTGAAAGATCCATATGTGGAGTGTAGGTTTTACTTCTAAAATAACTATTACCAAGTTATCTTTAAAACTAACATAATCCTAGTCAACAAATCTCTTACATAAAAAAAAACACCTGTAATTCAGTGTTCTGAACTCTGTTTTTCTGTGTTTATTGTAGTGGTGTTGTTTCAGTTTAATTGTAAATGGATAAAAAAAATCACCTGGATTGTATATTTTAAATATACTAATTTTTTTGTGTAGATCTGCTGAAGTTAGAAATTCAGTGATTAAAAAGATGGATTTTGCGAACTGCTAGCATTTGAATTTTATTTGAGAACACCACCATTTTTTCAGCTAGTATACAACTGGAAAACTCAAGGCCTTGCATATAACTGTGTCTCATACTAAAATTGTCATGCCATTATTTTTAACTCTTTTCCTTCATACTTCATGTTCTTTCCCATTCTATCACTTTGATTTGTTTAATTTCTCCTTCTCCACCCAACTCTCATGGACTTACTTTACATTGTCCTGATGCAGATTTCACTGAAAGCAATGGAACTGCTGGAAGAAATTGATTTTATGTTTTTCTGTTATAATTATATTAGCAACTATGCAAATACTATATTATAATTTCCCTCAGTTTTGAATTGGCATTTGGAAAGTCTCAGGTTTCTCTTGCTGCTAACTGCTGATGCTAAGAATAGGCAGGGCTTTTTAGAATGGCATGGTAGAAAAATCTTGGCATCAGCATAAGTACACATTTAAAGTACATTTTCAAAAATGCAAGAAAATTGCAAGGCTGATTCACCTTTCACTTATGCCAGTTTTACAGTAGTAATATTCCACTGACATCAGTACAGTCCATCCTGATTTTTAATCTGATATAAGCAAGAGGAGGCTGAAGCTTGCAGTTTTTCCTTTTGTGGATGATTTTCCCTTTACCACCATCTATCTCTGGCCATGACAGACATTTTGCAGTTATTGTTCTTTAGTGGCTGAATCACAACTATTGCACACTATAATTTTTCAAGGGTCTTTTGCAAAGTTACAATTAAGAATCCCATATTTCTAGTCACCTTATGAAAATGTTCCACTACATTGATGGTTTCTTTTCTCTTCCTTTATTCCCATTTTGTTATACCAGATATAATCACATTTCTATAATGCTGGTATATAGAAAGGTTTTGTATAGCTTTAATTAGCAGAATTCAGATTTTCATATAAATGACACTTCCCTGTCCCTTGAGTCATGATTACATCTTCAATTATCTGTACCACCTTAATCAGTTATGCTGGTGCTCTTTCTTACTGCCTATTGGGACCTTAAGAGTGGGGGCCTCCCATGCAATTGCACGTTTCTTAGTTTTCTTCTTTTTTAACATTAAACCACTTCACTTCTTGCCTTTCATTTTCTGCTCAGCACTAGTGACCACATCTAGACACCTTGATAGTAATGAGAATAGTTTGAAATTACAAACTCAATCCTTCTCTGCTGGCCTTTCTTTAGAGATATGCATAGATCAACTCTAATCTTGTTCTAATTCTTTTTTTCCCTTGGGACTTTTATATTTTGTCCTCCTTCAACAGTTAGCCTTTTCAAGGATTTAGTGTTTTGCCTTCATAATAAGATTAGAAAATCTCACAGCTAATTACTGTCATTTCAGTTATCAACCAAACCACAATCTCTTGAGCAATGAGATGCAAAACTTGGAGTTGTTTCCACTTTGTGTTTAAATCTTCAGTATACATCTTGTTTTATGAAAGACCTACATTTTAACAGGGTAAAAGTGCTTTTTTTAAATCTGAGGTAACAAATGAATATCTGTAGACAGCCAGAACATAATAATACCCAAAGGCAATAATCAGTTATGGGCCGTCTAAACTGAACAGGTTTGATATCCTATTGCTTAATTCATTATATTCATTTAGGGCAAAAATCTGTTGTAGAATATTTGCACTTTCTTTCTGTTATGGTGATCATAGCCACATACTGAATCTATTTATAGTCCCTCTGGTATACTAAAATTGTGCTTAATAAATGAAAATGGATGACTTTTCTAGCCCTAAAAACCTCTTGACATTTTCAAGATGATTATAAAGGAGAACAGAGCTTTGATCGTGATGGGAACCACTGGTTTAATGTAACTAATCTCGCCACAGCAACACCGCTGTATCTTCCACCGAGTAGCCCACCCAACAATACCCCATCAAATTGTCTTTATTCTTCTTCATCACCATTGTGATGTCTCTCTTCCTGTTTATCACCCCTCCCTGGGTGTGATTCAAAGCTCACAGAGTCAGTGGCTTCCATTAAATTCAGTGGTCTTTGGAGCACTTTCATGGGGTGTCTTCTTTCCCTATCCTCATCCCCTGTTGTTAATTTTGTCTTCATCCCTTCCTTTCTTTCTTATTTCTAATACCTTTATACTCTTTTCCACTGCTACTTTATTCAGTTCACTTCATATTTCTCTGCTGCTTGCTCACTCCCAGATGTTCTATGCCTCCTCTGTGTAATATAGTTAAAAACATTTATGGGAATGGAGTCATTATGATTCGTTTACATTAGGGCTGTCAAGCGATTAAAAATTAATCGTGATTAATTGCACTGTTAAACAATAAGAGAATACCATTTATTTAAATATTTTTGGATATTTTCTACATTTTCAAATATATTGATTTCAATTACAACACAGAATACAAAATATGCAATGTTCACTTTTTATTTATTTTTGATTACAAGTGTTTGCACTGTAAAAAACAAAATAAATTGTATTTTTCAGTTCACCTAATACAAGTACTGTAGAGCAATCTCTTTATCATGGAAGTTGAATTATGAAATGTAGAATTATGTACAAAAAACTACATTAAAAATAAAACAATGTAAAATTTTAGAGCCTGCAAGTCCACTCAGTTCTACTTCTTGTTCAGCCAATCACTCAGATAAACAAACTTGTTTGTATTTGCAGGAGATAATGCTGCCTGCTTCTTGTTTACAATGTCATCTAAAAGTGAGAACAGGAGTTCTCATGCCACTGCTGTAGCTGGTGTCACAAGATAGTTACATGCCAGATATTCTAAAGATTCATATGTCCCTTCATGCTTCAACCACCATTCCAGGGAACATGCGTCCATGTTTATGATGCCCGCTTCTTGTTTACAGTGTCACCTGAAAGTGAGAACAGGTGTTCTCATGGCACTGCTGTAGCTGGTGTCACAAGATAGTTACATGCCAGATATTCTAAAGATTCATATGAACATACGTCCATGCTGCTGCTGCTGCTGCTGAGTTCTGCTCGATAACAATCCAAAGCAGTGCAGACAGATGCATGTTCATTTTCATTATCTGAGATGCCTCCAGCAGAAGGTTGGTTTTCCTTTTTGGTGGTTCGGGTTCTGTAGTTTCTGCATCAGAGTGTTGCTTTTTTAAGACTTCTGAAAACATGCTTGACACCTCGTCCCTCTCAGATTTTGGAAGGCATTTCAGATTCTTAAACCTTGGGTCCAGTGCTGTAGCTATCATTAGAAATCTCACATTGGTACCTTTTTTGAGTTTTGTCAGATCTGCAGTGAAAGTATTCTTAAAATGAACAACATGTGCTGGGTCATCATCCAAGACTTCTATAACAAGAAATACATGTCAGAATGTGGGTAAAACAAAGTAGGGGACATACAGTTTTTCCCCCAAGCAGTTCAGTCACAAATTTAATTAACGCATTATTTTTTTAATGAGTGTCATCAGCATGGAAGCATGTCCTCTGTAATGGTGGCCGAAGCATGAAGGGGCATACAAATGTTTAGCATATCTGGCACGTAAATACCTTGCAATGTTGGCTACAAAAGTCCCATGCAAATGCCTGTTCTCACTTTCTGGCGACACTGTAATTAAGAAGCAGGCAGCATTATCTTCTGTAAATGTAAACAGACTGTTTGTCTTAGTGATTGGCTGAACAAGAAGAAGGACTGATTGGACTTATAGGCTCTGAAGTTTTACATTGTTTTGTTTTTGAGGGCAGTTATGCAACAACAACAAAATCTACATTTGTAAGTTGCACTTTCACGACAAAGAGATTGCACTACAGTACTTGTATGAGGTCGGTTGAAAAATACAATTTCTTTTATCATTTTTACAGTGCAAATATTTGTAATCAAAAGTAATATACACTTTGATTTCAATTACAACACAGACTACAATATATTTGAAAATGTAGAAAAATATCCAAAATACTTAATTCATTTCAATTGGTATTCTATTGTTTAACAGTGCGATTA